AGCTGCATCAAAACCAAATGGTGTTCTGAATTCTGAACAAAACAGGTTATTCACGGTGATTTTTTTCTTCCTTTGCAGAAAACTTCCGTGCCCTGAGTACTGGTGAGAAGGGATTTGGCTACAAGGGGTCCTGCTTCCACAGGATCATTCCTGGGTTCATGTGCCAGGTGCGTGGCATTCCCACCGCAGTGGGGAGGTGGGTGGGTGGGTGAGGTGGTATGTCACTCATGTGGGTTTTAGAGTTGGATTCTGGAAGATTTGGGGTGGGAGGGCAGCTCTGCCTCCTGCCTGCAGTGTGTGGAGGGGCCACTGCTCCCAATTCCAGGGTGCTCTCCTGCACCTGTGACCCGAAATGCCAATCTCTTCACAGGGTGGTGACTTCACACGCCACAATGGCACTGGAGGCAAATCCATCTACGGGGAGAAGTTCCCCGATGAGAACTTCATCCTGAAGCACACAGGCCCTGGCATCCTGTCAATGGCCAACGCTGGCCCCAACACAAACGGTTCCCAGTTTTTCATCTGCACTGCCAAGACTGAGTGGTGAGTCGGGGACTGTGGGAGGACAGGCTTGGGAGTCCTCAGCTGGGAAGTGTCCTGTGGGGACATTGGGGACCAGCTGTGACTGGTGTTTCTCCGCAGGTTGGATGGAAAGCACGTTGTCTTTGGCCGTGTCAAGGAGGGGATGAATGTGGTGGAGGCCATGGAGCGCTGTGGCTCCAAGGATGGCAAAACGAGCAAGAAGATCACCATCACCGACTGTGGGCAGCTCTCGTAGACCCTCTTCTCGCCAACTGACCATTCCTCGGGCAGCCTGGGCGCTGTGCCCTGCTGCAGCTCACCCGCTCCTGCCCTGTTCCCGACGTACTGCTGCCTTTCTACTGGGTCTTGGCCCCACATACACGGTCCCACTGGGCCGCAGTTACCTTTGAGTCTAAATAAAACGAGTTAACCCACAGCAGCCCCCTTCCGTCCCCCAGCTGGAGCAGGCGGGGGGGGGGGGGGGCTGGTGGAAAAAGAAGGAGGGGGTACCAGCTGGTCCTGGCACTGAGCTGATGTGTGGGGGTCCTCAGTGCTGCATCTAGGAAAGGGCTCCCTTTCTCTCCTCTACCCACTGCTGTGGGACTGCAATAAGTATGGGGACGGGTGGTGACCCCCACTTTTGGGTTCCTTGTGGGTCTCTGTCAGCAGGTGACCTTGGGCACAGCTGGTGTTTGCTATGCTGTGAAGATGGGACTCCCAATGGCTCCAGTAAGAAGAGTTTCAGGCTGGGAGGATCCCAGTGCTTCCTACTACAGCAACCCAGTTAGGGGGTGGCTCTCTGAGATCCCAATGGTCCCTCTTGGGGGGGTTGTAGTGATCCCAGTTTGGGGGTGCCCAGCTCTGATAAGATCCCATGTTTGGCATAGTCTCAATTTGCAGTGGGGTGGTAAGTGCTCCCGATTCATGCGTGGGTGCCCAGCTCCTGAGTGATCCCAGAGCTTCCAACTTAAAGGATGCATGGATGGGAGTAGACTAGTATCCTGTGGGCCGAACAAGGGGAGGTCTGCCCCTTTGTCCCACTTTCACCCACAGTACCTGAAGGGCACTGTTGCTCCCCCCACCCCTTCCTGCACATGGAACTACACCACAACAACCCCCGCGGGGTCTGCCTTGGAGCGAGGCCTTGATGTGTACGAGGTGACCCCAGTGCTGGCAATCCCCCGGTGCTGGCAATGCAGCGCACAGTGCGAGGGGAAGGTGAAGCTGGCAGCAGCTTCTGCCCCATTACCCTCTGGCCGGGAGCCACTGGGGTCGGGTGGCTTCAGAGGGGCCTGGGGTTGCAGACAGGCCAGGGCGCGGCAAGGCCTTTCGGTGGCGTACCGGGACAGCGCAAGGGAAGGGTTTTTGTGCTATACTGAGGCACCACCACCATTCCACGCAGCCTGAAGGGGGTGGGAGCTCCGGGGGTGCTGCAGCAGGCCGGGGGGGGGGAAGGGGGGACATGGGCTCTGCCACAACTCTATGGCTAGTGCCCAGTGCTTCCCTCCAGCCTCAGCCCTGTGGGGCTCTGGGCCCTTGGTCTCCCCCGTGGACCCTGGCACCCCCTTGAGGACACTCCAGCTCCTCGGTTGAAGACTCCCTGCAGCTCCTGCTCCCCACCAGTGTCAAGTCCCACAGGGGAGGACACCTGTCTCTTGCCCCCACTATGCTTCCCCACACCTAGGACAGGCTCCCGGCATGACCACACCGGCGCTCCCTGGGAAGAGGAATGTGAACTTCATGGAGCTCCACCTCCCCAGCAGCAAGACCAAAAGTGTCCTCTGGCCTGTGGCAGCCAGTCACGGCCATTGGATCCACATTTAGCTGCAGTTCGTCTGCTCCTGGCGTTTACGAGGCGAACAGCTCTCCTCCAGATGGAGAGTCTACTCACAGCTCTGAGAGGAAAGAATGTTGAGCAGCAGCATTAAATGCAAGCATGCTGTGATGGGTTGATGAAGGGAGAAGATTTGTGCTGCAGAACTTCCTAAAGATCATTCCTCCAAAGAGGAAGACACAGGTGACTAGCAAATGCAGACAGGTAGAAAGACAAGTTACACCAAGCTAAACCAGAACACTGCTCAGGCCATCAGCTGAGGGTCTCCGGCACTGACCAATGACCTGAGACCAGGACAAAGCACTGCAGTGTGCCAAATATGCCCAGAAATTGAAGTCGCTTGGTCAAGACCGTAGTATGGCCTTCAGCATAAGTGGAGGTGAACACAGAGCACTGTTTCCTCCTCAGCCTAGGGACCTTCTTCTGCCTGCCCCAGTCCTCAATCTCAACCTCGTACTAGTGTCCCCATCAACAGCATTGCACCACCCCATGCACTGTCCAGTATCTGCATTCCACACCTCACAAGAACTGGTGAGTTCCTGGGTTTGCTGCCATTTCAACCCAGATAATTGTGCTGCTGCTCTGTGTTTATCATTCTGCCATTAGTCTGAAACCACTGATTGACCCTTGGAGCTGTCCATGAGTGGGTTCTGTTCCTACAGGGTCTGCAGGGTGCTGGACTGGTCCTGCAGAACCCAGGGGGTAGAGGCGGATGAGAGGGGTGCCTGCCTAAGCTGGGTAGGGCCAGTTCCCAAGTGCTCTGGGGGGGATGGACTGGTTTTTCAGGCACAAGTAACGACTACTGGTTTGTGGTCCCCCTCTTAGGGAGTTTGGGGCAGGCAGTCCAGCTGTTCTGGTGGTTTGCACCTTCTCTATCCTCTCTTGAGTGAAAGGGTGCCTGCTGTTTGTAGCTGAGAGGCTGGTCCATATGGATGGGAGTAGGACATTCCTCTCTGAAATGCTGGAACTCCTGGGGCACTTTCTCCACAGGGAAGATGAAGGAGGAAGAGAGATTGTCTTCATGTTCCTGGAGCTGATGAACCACTTCATCCACCATGGTTGCCACTTTGTCTCTCCAGGCCGTCACTGCCAATGAACTGGGAAATGAGAGTGGTGGCTCCGTACGAAGTTCTTCCATGTGGGTCATGTGCACTGAGCTTCGTCTGGCTCTGTAGGTAACTGTGTGTTGTTCGTGTCATCATAAACTGTGTTGAGCATGGCCAGTTCCTTCAGGTACTGGATACCTCTCTCCATCGTGGTCCACTTGCCTGGGCAACATAACAACATCTCCCCCGTAGGAATACCTTTTCTTCACTCTTGGCAGGAGTCGCCTTGAGAGGATGAGGGCCTGTGTCCCTCTTCCAATTGCCTTGTTAATGTCCCCTTCTCTAGAAAGCAATCCCAGCTGCTTGGCTTCCCTAGTTTCTAATTCCATGATACTAACCCAGTTATTCCAGCATTGGAGCAGCCAGGTGATAATGAACCCACCTGGATGACAGCTGAAATATTTTCACATATCCCACAGCTCACTCAGTAACAGGGATTGAGTGGTTACCTCTTGGTCTGCCTCTTCCTCCTGTTCCTGTGATAACCCTGCTTTGGACTCCTTGTCCTCCTTTCCTAAATGAGCTGACATGCATGCCCGTTTTTCTTGTGTCTGGGGGTGACTTGTCCCAGCATTGGCTGGGGCTCTGGTTCAGCTGCAGGGTCTGTTGCGTGGGCTGGAGCAGCCACAGGGCTTATCCAGGCTCATCCCCAGCATAGACAGCAGGGCAGGGAGGGGATTCTGACCCTCTGCTCTGGAGAGACCTTACTGCATGCAGCTTTTCAGTACTTAAAGGGGCTTATAAGGAAGATGGGGACAAACTTTTTAGCAGGTCCTGTCATGATAGGACAAAAGGTGATGGTTTTAAACTGAAAGAAGGGAGATTCAGGCTAGACACAAGGAAGAAATTTTTTACACTGGGAGTGGAGAAACATACAGGTTGCCCAGAGAAGCTGTGGCTGCCCCCATCCTTAGAAGTATTCAAGGCCGGGTTGGATGGGGCTTGGAGCAACCTATTCCACTGGAAGGTGTCTCAGCATCCTGGGACAGTCTCATCCCAGCACTTTGTGCAGCTGCTTCTCTGCCCCAGGGAAGCACTGCTGTCTGGGCCATTGTGGGGGCTCGCTCATTCCCCTGACACCAAATCCTGCTGTATCAGGAGTGGAGACCCAGCAGCATCTGCCTGGAAGAGGAAGCTCTTGGGCAGACCTGCCCAGGACTTGCTGCCTGCAGATTCACTTGGATAAGGAAAATTCTCATGCTTCCGGAGTTCGCAGATGAAAGGGAGGTTTTGGCTCTGTGTCTGTGTGTGTCTCATTATCAGGGAGATGCTGTGCCTGCTGGAAAGGAGCTGCATTTTTCTAGACCACCCGCCTGTGTCCCTTGGGGAGGGCAAACGAAGACAGTGTGTTCGCCCACAGTGAGAGCAGGACAAGAGTCACTGTTCTAGTGACTCGAACTGCTCCAGAGGTAGCAGAGTTTTCCCCGAGAGCTTTGTCTCCATCTCAGATCAGCTGAGCCAGTGCCATCTTCAGGAGTTGTAGGAGAGCCGAGGAGTTGCAGGATGGCCTCTCTCTGGGCACATCCAGCAGTAGCAGGGACTTGTGCTCTCTAGGTGTCATTACCAAAGGGACAAACCAACTCAGATCCTTTAACTTAACAGCCCCCTATTCCCCTCCAGTACCTAGGGGATCCCTAGGTCCCCAAAGTAGCAGTGGGATCCCCAGCCCTCCCATGGCATCAGTGTGTCCCCCCCACTTCAATTCCCAAGGGATCCCCAGAGCCCAGTGGCATCAGTGGCACCCCTGGCTGTGCTGCAGTACCCTAGGGACCCCCAGCCACCCAGGAGTGGCAGTGGGACCCTTACCCCACTGAGGCATTCCCCTGGCACCCGCAGCCCCACTGCAGGCAGTGGTGGGGACATGGGGACACTTCTGGACCTGGCCCTGGGTTGTCAGCACCTTGTCCCTGTGAGGCACAGCGCCCCCCCAGCCCATCTGCTGGGCGAGCTGCAGCAGCAGGTTTGGGTCCATGGCCACCCCACCATCACCCTGGGGAGGGACCCCCAGCTCCACACACAGCCTGGTGGGACAGGCCTCCATGACCTCTGTGGTGCGCAGGTCCTGCCCCCTAGGAGTGGGAGGGTGCCTCGGGGGGTGACAGGCATCCAATTCCCCTCCTCTCCCAGACCTGGGGTGGTGATGGAGTGCTTCAGGCCCTCACTGCTGGGCAGCTCCCCTGGCTTGGGCTCCCCACCCCGGCACTGCCACTAGTGTTCCACGGCCCCGCTCTCTATTTCCGCTCCATCCTCATCCCCTTCCCCTATGTCCCCCACATCCCTGGCCTCCCCCTCCCCATGTGCCCCATCACCCCCATGTCCCCTTTGTCCCCAGCCACCCCTTCCCCATTCCTCCCACTCTCCCCATGTCCTCCGTCTTCTCCCATCCTCCCCATCCCCCTGTGTCCCGGCTCGGTCCTGTCCCCGTTCCCGGTTCTGCCCCCCGCGGGAGGGTGGGGCGATGGCGGGGCTGCAGTTCCCTCTCCGAACCTCCGGGTGGCGCCGGAGCTCTGCCCCCGCTGTAGCTGTTTAGGGGCTCTGGGGGGAAGCCATCAGGACCCATCAGGCTTCGTGGACTGACAGGGATCCAGCTGGAGCAGATTCCGCACAAGTTCAGGGTCGACTGGGAACTGATCATTCTCACAGCTCAGGGTACTGGGACCCTCTTAGTCTGCCATCCGTGTTGAAGACAGAGGCAAAGAAAAAATGAAACATCCCTGCCTTGCCTCGGTCCCTGTTTGTGAGGTGACCAGACTCATCCTGGAACAGGAATATGTAATTTCTGTGCTGGCTTTTGCTATTGATGTATTTAAAAAAAGCCCTTTTTGTCATCCTGCACAGTACTGGCAACTTCAGCTCCAGCTGAGCTTTGGCCACACGAATTTTCTCCCCACAGCGGTGAGCAGTTTCTCTGTTGTCATCCCACATCACCTGACCTCGCTCCCCTTGGGCATACAGCTTCCTTTCTTTACCTTTGCTCCAGAAGTCGTGATGGGTCTGCCTTCTTCCAGAAGAAGATCCCTGCTCAGGAGGTCCTGTTCAGCCAAGGCTTCTGCTGCACCTGCTTGACTTCTGACATTTGGGAATTGCTGCTTCTGTGTCCTTAGAAGGTGGTGACTAAAAAGTGGCCAGCACTGATGGACTCCAGCACCCTCAGAAAGGTTTTCCCAGTTCCCTGAGCAGCCTGAAGTCTGCTCTCCTCATATCCAGGGTTGAAATTTTGTGGCACTTTTCCTGGTGTCACCAGAGATTTTAAACTTGGTGACTTCATGATTGCTGTGGCCACGATGGCTTCTAGGTGCCACTTCACCCATAAGACCCTCTCTGGTAACAGGGAACAAATCCTGGAGGGCACCTCTGCAAGTCAGCTCCGTGAGTACCTGTACAACAAGGTCATTGTCCAGGGACTTTAGGAATCCTCTGGACCTATTTGTGCCAGCTGCGTGGTGTTCCCAGTTAACATCGGGAAAGGTGAAGTCTCCCCTAAGGACAAAGGCAGTTGATTTGGAGGTGTCATTCAATGGTCTCATCATTGGGTGGTCTATAGTAGACTCCCACAGTGACATCTGCATTATTTGTTTGTCCCTTAATCCTTACCCAGGACATCCCAACCCCTCTAATCCATACACCACCTCCCTCTACTCACCTACCCTACCTTCCCCTCCCGGAGGAACTTGGGCAAGAAAACTGCTGCAAGAGAGGAAAAAGACTTTGCAGTCCCAAACTCCTCCAGTTAGCTCTCTGAGCAGCTTTGCATCTCCTGGAGACAGATCAGTGCCTGATATCTCCCTGAGACTCCTAGCCATCTCTGGAGGAAGTCTTTTGTCCTTACTCAGAAGGAACCAAAAAGGCTGAAAGAGAGAAATAAACTGAGAAAGGTTTGGGTTTGAAGGGACTTTCGAAGATCGTCTGGTCTACCCTTCCACCTGCCATCAGGCAGTACACCTTCCACTATCCCAGGTTGCTCCAAGCCCTGTCCAACCTGGCCTTGAACACTTTCAGGAATGTGGCAGCCACAGCTTCTTTGGGCAACCTGTGCCGGGGCCTCACCACCCTCACCATAAAGCATTTCTTCCTTATGTCTGATCTTACCCTGTTCTCTGGCAGTGTACAGCCCTCACCCATGATCTTGACACTGCAGATCCTGGTAAAAAGTCTCTCTGTGCCTTTCCCATAAGCCCCTTTGTACACTGAAAGGTCACAACAAGGTCTCTCAGAGCCTTCTCTACTCCGGACTGGACTGAACTGAGCTTTCTTTGGATTCTTGCACAAGAGAGAGGTTCCAGCCCTGGGATCATTTTCAAGGCCTCCTCTGGACCTGCTCTGACAGGTTGTCGCAGTCAGAGTGAGACTGGACTGTTTGCTAAAGAGGATGAGTTATGAGGTAGAAAAAACTCCTCTCTCTCTGCAATTGTAATGTCAAATTAAGGGGCTTTACTCGAGGAAAATGTGGAAAAACAGAAGAAATAACAACCCTTTATTAAAAGATATATGTATGTTGGCAAAAAACAGAAACAAGAAACAACAATAACAACAACAACAAGTCTAAATGAATACTTCCCTGTCCGTTAGCACAGTCCTAACTGTGACCTGCCGGGGAAGTTGTGGGATCGCTGGAAGGTGCAGGGCCTGCAGTACCTGGTCGTGGTCGGCAGGGGGCGCTGTGGGGTCGCTGGAAGGTGCAGGGCCTGCAGTACCGGTCGTGGTCGGCAGGGGGCGCTGTGGGGTCGCTGAAAGGTGCAGGGCCTGCAGTACCTGGTCGTGGTCGGCAGGGGGCGCTGTGGGAGAGCTGGAAGGTGCGGGACCTGCAGTACCTGGTCGTGGTCGGCAGGGGGCGCTGTGGGATCGCTGGAAGGTGCAGGGCCTGCAGTACCCGGTCATGGTCGGCAGGGGGCGCTGTGGGCTCCGGCAGTCACCCCGCGGGGAAAGGGGCTGGAGGGAGCGGTCCCGGACCGCGTGGGGAAGCCGAGGAGGAGATGGGGGGGTCCTCGCCTCCGTGGGGACGAAAAGGAAGGCAGGCAGTACACTCCCACGGGAACTCACCGCTGTCTCAAGTGGCGGAGACTCACCGCAGTCTCAGGTGGACTCCCCCTCCTCTCCCGCTGGAGCAAGCAAACTCTCCGTTGAGGCACAGCAGCTCCGAGGAGCGGGACGGTCAGGCAGGTTGAAGCCAGCAGGATGAGAAGTCGAGCTGACCAGGATGAACAGCCAAAAGAAAACTAGACCTCCGGTCCCCCTCACCAGAAAAAATGCCTGTGTACCCCCAGGGAGCCAGCAACCCAGCTTGCGTCCTTGCCCCCGAACAGAACCCGCCCCCCTCACTCCAGCAGTTAATCGCCCATTAAACAGATCAGCCAGTTCCTTTGTAAGGCTAATCAACTCCCTTCCCCCTTCAAACTCTGTTTTCTCTTACAGGGAAAGCAGGGGAAGGGAAAATTCCTCTCTCAGATTTATAATCCATAACACAGGTCCAGGTCTTATTTGCACTGGGGGCCCCAGAGCTGGATGTGGGCTCCAGGTGGGATCTCCAGAGAATGGAACAGAGAGGGAGAATCCCTTTGCATCTAAAACTCAGCACCATATGGGCCACCAGGAAGAAAATTCAGTCCCTCCCTGACTAAACCAGAACAAATGGTCTCTGTCATGGTTAGCAGCAGCTATGTGCTTAGTTCTGACTTTGCACTGTGTGGTGGATTTGGTGGGCACACATCAGAGATGCTGGGGCTGGTCCCCAGTCCCCTCCCAGGTTATTGTTTGGCTCTGTCATGATATACGGCTTGTATGTCTGTGCTCTTTAGGATAAACCTTTTGCTCCCAAGAGCACACAACCACGGCTCCCCCGAACTACTTCCCCCCTGCATCAGCATCTCCTTCTTCCATGTCATGACATCTACTGCAATTCCTTTCCCCTCCCACCTCTGTGACAGCCACTTCCTCTGGACACTCCCTGTATCACAATACCCCTGTAGCCTGTTCCCTGGAATATCAACCCTCTGCTGCAACACTATTAAAAAGCCACCAACAGTAAAATTTTGAGCCCAAAGCTCAATTTCAAAGGCCAAAACATTATTTTTGATTATTTTTCAGCTCCAACCCCGAGCTGGATCACAAACCCTTGTTTATACAATGCAGTCTCAAAGTAGAGAGAACAGCAACACTTTTAACTCCCTCTTAATTCTACATCCCTGAGGGGTTGCTGCCATCACTGCTGGGCTCAGCCTTGGCCAGTGGTGGGTCTCTCCACAGGAATGATGGTGGACCTGGGATGAGACTGGAGATGAGGGACAGGAGGGTTCCTGTCCCTAGGGGTGTTGGGGACCCGGGGTGGGAACAGGACCCCATAACAGGGCTGGCATTGATGTCTCCAGTGGGGGCTGGTGCCCAGGGATGGGGGGCTGCTGTGTCTGGGGACAATGGGACCAGGGGTGCGAATGGGCTCCTCTGATGTCACTGGGTCTAGGACTGATGATCCCAAAGGGAATCAGGAACTCGGAATGGGGAGCTGAGGGGGGGCTGACAGCCCTGGGGGTGTTTGAGACCTGGGATGGGGCTGGAATTGATGTCCTCAGAGGTGTTTGGGACAGGGATGAGGCTGATGGCCCTGGAGGCTATGGGGACCCCCATGGTACCTGGGATGGAACCCCACGGTGGGACTGGGGGTGGAACTCGTGTTCTCAGACCATGCTGGGTCTGGAGGGGATGTCCCTGGAGGGGATTCCAGGTTTGGAGATGGCTTTATGACTCCACAGCGGGCCTGGGTTTGTGTCCCTGGGGGGCCAAGGGTTGGGACTGAGGGGTACTGGGGGTGGGCCCCATCCTGGGTTTGCTGCCGGTACAACCCAGTTGATTGTGCTGCTGATCTTTATTTAAACGCTCCTGCAAATATTCTGCTGGCTTCTGCCCGGCTGTTGGGGCGCTCAGAGCCGGCTCTCGAAGCTGCGAGGCGCCTGTGGAGAGAGGAAGCTGCTGAGGCCCGACCACGGCCGGGGGTGCAGGGTGGGTGTGAGGGTGCGGAGCAGCACTGGGTGCCCCGAGGGGTGTGGGCACCCGGCTGCACAGGGGAGCTGTGGGCACAGAGAGCTCTGGGCTCTGGGGCACCAGCTCACAGCACAAATCTCTACTGAGTTTGGGCAGTGGCAAACTGGGCACCCAGAGCACCTTAGCTCGGAAAACCCCATGGCTGCTCTAGCTGATAGCAGCCATCCAATACCAGTTTGGCAACTCCCCCCAGGCCCACCAACTCACTTTCTCCTCTTCCTCCACAAGTGGAATACACAACACAGCACCATCCCCAGCAGCATTGAGCCCAGGACAGCCACGATGCCTTCTATGCAGTACGTCTGGAAGGTATCAGCACCCACAGAGTTTGGGTCTGCCCTGCCCACCACAGCGTTTGGATCTGTCCTGCCATCCACAGTGTTTGGGTCTGTCCTGCCATCAACAGCATTTGGATCTGCCCTGCCCACCACAGCAATTGGGTCTGTCCTGCCATCCACAAGGTTTGGGTCTGCCCTGCCCACCACAGTGCTGGTGAATCTTCTGCCATCCACGGCGCTGTTGAGGCTGAGGCTGTTCACACCTGGAGGAACAATTGTGCACATCAATGTGCCCTGACATTGCCAGAAAATGTTCTTTCCGACTTTGTTGGCATGTCTGAATGAGGGAATATCCTGGGTGGCAACATTTCTGTGGCTTCAGTAGAAGCCAAGGAAACTCCCAAAGGCCTTGCAAGTCCATGATCTCCAGAGCCTCTCTCTCTCTCTCTCCTCTCGGCTTCGCTTGGGCTCTGGAGTGGCCGCAGTCCAGTTCTCCCAGTGTCTGTCTTTGCTCCCCGTTCCTGAGGATCCTTCACATTTGTCCACAATTGTTCTTGCACTCTGGCCAGGGATGGTCTGACTGGGGCAGCCGTAGTCCCTGGGACTCAGCTGGAGCCACAACTGGCAGCAGAGATTCTGGACCATCCTTGCAGCTTGCCAACACCTGCAGGGTCCCTGCAGTGAGGCTCTGAGGTGTGGGCTGGGGAGGCTATGGCATGTCCCTACATTTATCCAAAACCTCTGCTGCCCCACTGTGCCAGTTAGGAGTGACCTGTACCCACCTTGTGCTATCGTCTTCAACTGTCCAAGGATTTCATGTAGCACTTTGGATGTGTCCTGGGAAGATTGTCCCCTTCCGTCTTGATACTCTGGACCTTAATGGAAAGAATAAAGTTACATTTCTGCCCCAGCAAACCCTGGAAGCAGCACTCAGGCTGTGCAGTCAGTTAGGACTGACCCGTGACCCTCTCCAGCACCAGGGTCCAGCCAAGAAGCAGGAAAAGCCCTTCCTGTGTCCACAGCTGCAACCAGACCCCCCATGAGAGCTCCCGTCACACCTTGGGGCACCCTCTGTCCTGACCGAATAGCAGAACAGGGGAGGGGATCATGGAACAACATGGTACACCCAGGCTTTGCTCCCCATTCCTGTGGATCCTTCACATTCACATCTGTCCACAATTTCTCTTGCAGGCGCTCACCTTCCCTTTCCAGGCTTGGTAGGTGCTGCCTTGATGGACACTCTTTCTGACTGTGGGGGACACACTGTCCCCCAAACAGGACTCAGGGGGCCAGATGGAGAGCAAGGAGGGACCAATTGTCCCTTGGAGTGAGATGGACAAAACTCATCCCCTTGGAATGAGGTGGACAAAACTCATCCCTGTGTCAGGGAAGGTCACCCCCAGCTCTTTCTCCCCAGCCCAGCACCCACACTCTGAGGGGACACACTCGGGTCCTCAGGAGACACCCGAACCTCGCTCTCCCTCGCTGCCCTTTCTCCAGCATGGGCAGCGCTTGCCCGCTCCCAGTTTTCAGGTCTTGTCTCCCATGTATGACCTCTGGCAGGACTGCCCAGTGCCTGGATAATTTGGAAAACATTCCTCCAGCCCAGAGTGGGGGCCTTCCCCAGGACTGGCCAGAACTGCCAAGGATCAGGGAAAGGTAAAGCCTAAGCATGGGTCAGGCACAGAGGCTGCAGGAGGATGTTGCAGGGTCCCTCCAAGCCGTGCTGGACCCGTTGGTGCAGCCCTTTGGACCCCAGTTCCCAGGAGGGATCCCCTCTGTTGAGCCAGGGCCTCCAGGGCCTCCTGGCAAGCTCTGGGATGCAGGTGTTGCAGGAAGGACATTCAATCCAGAGTCACATTTCCTGTGATCTGCTGAGTGGGATCCAGGTGACCTAGTTCCCTAAAGGGCAAAGTTGTGAAATCCCTGAGAACAGGATGTGGGGGGCAGTGAGCCTCTCCCCACATCCACAGAGGGTCTGAGTGCGTGTTCCTGGCACAGTGACGTCCACAACTTCCCCCGTCCCGAGGCAACAGGGACCCCGGTCGCTCCTGGCTGCTGGCAGAGCTCTGGCTCTGTGCTGACAGTTTGGCTGTTGACACGAGGAGCAGCAGCAGCAGCAGCAGCGGGGCAGGGCCTGCAGACACTCGGGATCTCGGCGGATGTTGCCAGGTGGCCGAAGGACAGCGATTACCTGACACTCCTGTTGGCTGAACGGTCCCAGTGTTTTCCCAAGGGACTGGCACTGCCTGATGGTCTTCCTGAGGTGCCTCCTTATCCACAGGCTCACGCTCCAGAGCTTTAGAGAGAAAGTGTGTCAGCTGAATTGCAAGTCCCCATTCCTCATGGGGATCTGCCAGAGCTGGGGGCTGGCCCTGGTCTGCCCACCTACCCACTGCCCACGGTCGCCACGGAGCAGCCCCGACACCCCTGGCTGGCAGGACCACCAGGAGGAGGATGAGGGCCAGGGTCCACCGCGCCTGCACCATGCTGTCACTACTACTGCTGACACAGCTGGTACTGCTGGAACTGCCACTGCTGGCACTGTCACTGCTCACTGCTGTCACTGTCACTGCAAGCACTACAGGTACTGCAGGCACTGGCACTGCTGGCACTGTCAGTGCAGGCTCTGCTGACACTGCTGCTGCTCCTGCAGCTGCTGGAGTGATGCCTGTGGCACCTGCCCCGCACTGCACACAAATGCCTGGCCTTGTGACTTCATGGCCTGGCTTTGTCATCTCATGGTGGGGCTTTGCCACGGCATGGGAGGCTCCTACCGTCAACATTCCACCATCTCCATGAGAAGCACAACATTTCAAGCTGCTGGGGAGGATTCCCAAGGAACTACAGAGCAGGGAGCCAACCCCAACAGACTCAATGCTCTTTGGGTTGTTTCTTGCAGCAGAGTCTGGAGCTGCTCCCTGGCAATTCTGCTGTCTCCAGCAGAGCGCAGCACACTCCCAGAGATACCTGCCAGGAGTCACAGACCTGAGGGAACAGAGGAAGGATTTTAGGTGACACTTGCTTCCCCATCAAGGTCAGGAATCCTTTACTGGGTGATGTCATCTCCCAGGATAGTTCTTGGGGATGGGGCACAGATGACTTGGGAAAACAGTGGCCTTTACAACCAGTGCCAAAACTTGCCTGTGAGCAGATGACCATGGCAAGTGGCAAAGGCTGGTGGTGTTGTGGATTGGGCTTGCGCTGTCTCTGTTTCCATGTCCAAATTTGAGTTTCTGCCCACATCACTGCACAGGGATTCTCTTCAGGGCCTTGAGACATGTCCCTGGTGGGGACAAGTGGAAGAAAAAAGAGGACTTGCCACCTGTCAAGTGAGGCATCTCCCATCACATTTCCATTAGCATGGGCAACTGGTTTCTGTGATCTCATGGAAGAATTCCTAGTGGTGATTGTCATAAGGATCTGTCTTGTGACAAAGTTTGGTGCCAGCTCAGCACAGCCATTTCTCCTCAAGCTGGCGTCACAGGAGCTGAGCCCTGAGGTGGGAGGTGACCAAGACCCCCAACCCTGGGTACAGGAGAAGGGCGACGATCTGAGGGCCTATCCTCACTCTGGGAAATTACCTCTACTTTTAAAAGAGACTCTGTCACCTCAGGGGCATCATCCAGCTTCCCTGTCCCAAACATGGCACTATGGATATGCTCGCAGAGGAGGCCAGAAAGTGCTGGCACTGGGGAGGGTGCCAGGCCTCTGGAAACAGCGGTGCAAGGGGAGCGGGAAGTCCCTCTTGGATATGTTGGGAAGAGGCCTCAGCATTGCTGTGTGTCACTGTGGCTGGCAGCATCACAGCCTTGCTGTTCTGAGAAGGTCTCTTGTTCCTGGTTCCTGGGAGGCTTCTTGGACTGCCTGCACCTGCTCATTTGAGCTCCACTACTAAGGCAGGCAAGCAGCCCTGGGATGAGGAGGCGATGGAGATGAGGGACAGTTCTCGGGTCAGATAAGCCATGAGGCTCAGGGCTGGTGTCTGTGTGGGGCCTTTTCCTGCTCCAGCCAGAGCCATTCCCAGCACCAAACATGCCATCCACCACTGCCCAGGAGCAGTGAGGGCAGCATCCAGAGAGCCTGGGGCTTCTGGGAGCCCCCCATGTAACAGGACTGGTTCCTCTCCAGCCCTTCAGAAGAGCCCCAGTGTGGTGGCCTGAGCTGTGCGTGGGGACAGCCGTGTGCCAGCCGAGGGTCCCAGCTCAAGAGGTTTCCTCTCCTGAGCTGAGTACAGCCATGGGCCGAGCAGCACATGGCTCTGGTAGGCAGAATGTGGCCTCAGACCCCTCCTGCCCTCAGGCAGAACCCTCCTGTTGTGTTTTTCCAGGGAGCCACCAGCTATCCTGGGGCCACCATTGGAAAAAGCAACCTGTGACTGACCAAGCCAAGAGCAAACCTGCACCTAAGGGCCAAGTGTCAAAGCTGAGCCACATATAGGCTGCAACACCTCAGAGGGGCAGAGGAGGAAGAGAAGGACAAAATAAAGTTCCTCTTGGAAGAGAAAGAGAAAAGAATGTTCCTCTCCAAAGCACATCACCATCAAGGAGTGCCCAGGCCAGGGTGCCTGAGGACTCTGCTTCCAAGGTCTTCATCTGGCAGCCATCAAGACCCAAAGCAGCACAGGGACTAAGAACAAGGCCTGAGGTGCTCTGCTCAGTGCTGAAAGAACCCCAGAAGACCCTTTCAGTAGGATCTAGGTTTGAGCCCTTTCTTTTGGTGCCACTCCCCTGCACCCAAAGGGCTCCACAGCTCTGTGATGCCCCACACTGAAAAGAGATGTGGTAGCAGGGTGCTGTGGCTATGGATGGAGTGATCAGGGCAAAACAGGGACATCATTGGAATCAGTGCCATTCTGGGGGCCGTTTCCTCCTAGGAGTGCAGTTAGGAGGTGTGCTTCAAAGATCCCTCAGTTCTGGTGGATGTCATGGCCAAGGTGCCACTATGGGCTCATCCATGGGACTCCTTTTCCAGCAGTGTCCTCTTTTCAGGAGCCTCAGGACACACCCTGGCCATGTTCTCTGGACATGCTAGGAAGACCTAACTCAGCACAAGGGCTGTTTCCTCCTAGCTCCTTTGTCCTTTAGATCCTTGATGGGAAGGGAAAGGCTCTCTAAGTGGTTCTGTCAAAGCTTGGGAGCAAAGTGCTGCTGCTGGAGAGGCTGCAGAGAAGGGGCAAGTAGAGAGAGAGAAAAAGTTGTCCTCCCCTCAGCATCCTGACCCGAAGCCATCCAGAGGAGGTTGGAGGGAATGCCCAGGACTCTCTCCTGGAGCACTAAGTCTCACACAGTGTGAGATTCCTGACTGAAACCAAACCTCATCCCAAGTGCTTTTTCTGACTGCTGTCAGCAGTGAGACCATGCAAGGAAGAACAGAGCAGGTTGGGTTTGTTTTCAGGTTTGGCAAAGACGTAAACTGACTGTAATTGGCCAGTTGAGCCTCACTTGTAGAGTCCAAAGTCTTCTTTAGCAAGTCGGAAGGTTCATTTTTAGGCCTAAACCCTCTTTTAGCTTCCAAGGGTCTCTTCAGGATTCACTCCACCATTTGGAGGAGCGAATCATCTTTTAAGCCTCCAGCACCAGCTGCCCAGCAGTCTGGGGAGGGTCAGTGCACTCAGGCCAGACATTTGAGGAGGGGCGTGCGAGGCATGTGATTGATATGGAACCAACCCGCTCAGCTTCCAGGCCTTCTGTGTGGAACATTTTCCGTCAGAAAGCATCTCAGTGCTTGCTTGACATAAAGTTGTGAGGCCGTGGGATGAACTTTCTCTGTGTTGTGTCAGGCAGAGATGGATCCAAGGGAAAGCTGGAGCTGCTGATTGGAACATGCCCAGTCTTTGGAATACACAAAGCTGCAGCTTCCAGCCCATGGATGGCGGGGCATGAGCTGTAACCACCATGTTCCACCATGGACTGCAGTCCAATGACCCCCCAAAACTCCCCTCAGAGGGGGTGAAGCTGAGCACGTGGCAGCCCCTTGGGAACAAACAGCAAAGCAACTGAGAGCAAGAAGCCTCCAGGCCCTGATAATGCTCTTGGTCTGGGCTGAGGGAGGGGAAGTGGAGCTTGTTGGGGTGTCCTTGCCCAGGGATTTCTTTATTTGGGATCCCCTGGTGAGGAACCAGCTCGAGACAATGCTTGCCCCATCCTCATCTTCATATGTGGCATATTGTGTTGTGCTGATGGTAAGGATAAAAGGATTCATGACTCCTCCTAAAACATTTGGATAGAGAGCAAAACAAGACAGACAAATTTATACAAAAACGTTCAGACAGAGAGCAAAATGAGAGAGGGAAACTGGAATCTCTGTGGCATGTGGAAAGGGACCATACCAGACAAATGCACATCAAACCTTGTAAGGCTGCCAAGAGGCAGAATACATTGAAAGAGGCATTGGAGAGAGGCATACATTGGCAGGAATGAGAAGCTGGCAGGGGAGAGTACAAGGACTTAACTGCTCAGATAAAGAATTGGTGAGAGGCTTGATCAGCCTGCAAAACTCTTAGAAACAAAGAGAGTGACTAACCCGGGGGGAATTAAAAGTAATAGTGGTTGAGGAGGATGAGGAGAAAGACAGAGAGACAGGAGTGTTGGATGAGGAGGCAAAAGAGGTTGGAGAAGTAGTTGTGGAACAGAAGGCAGAGCCACGAGTGCAGGCAGCTGAAGCAACAGAAAAGGAGCCAACTGTGGAGAAGAGAGACACTGAAAAAGTGCAGGCAGCAGCTGCTGTGGAGCATAAAGATGAAAAGAGGAGGCCCAGGGATACTGGGAACCGGGGATTTTCCTAAGTGTAAATGATTCCTGTGAACCCTGGTGCCTAACCCAAAGGGTTGCCTATTGGTCAGGGGGTTTAGATCCCCTGGAGAGGGGGAGCAGGCTTCAGGAAAAGGTGATGTTTGTTGCTGAGCGTAATCAGGAAAAGAGGCTGCAGGCAGAAGGGCTGCTTGCTGCCAAATGCAATCATATTAGGAGGCTTCAGGGGGAGCTTTGGGATGTGTATGAGAGAGAGAGGAATTGCAGGATGTAGAATCTGGACTCCTAATTAAAACTGAAACCAGAAACAATGGTCAGGGTCAGCAAATTGCTACCAAAACAGTGACTTAAAGCGTGACTGAGATATCAAAGTTATTGCAGGATCAGTTAAATGAGGAGAAGGGAGGCCCTGTAAGTATTCCCACCTCAAATGTGGAGATTGTATCTGGACTAACCCAAGCAGACTATGTTAGTTAAGCCACAGACGAAAGCACACAAAGAGTTTTAAAATGGTTGTTCAGTTATTTACCCAAGTCCAGTTCCAACGGATTCTAATCCAGCAACCACTGCACTGCTGGTATGGTACAGGAGTGGGCCAAGGGAGACAGGATTAATTGAATCTTTCACAGAAGGGAAAGTAAAGATCCAGGTAAACTGAAGCACCACCCAGGACAGCCAGTTTTAGTGGACTCATCCACTATTGGAACAGTGACTTAAAACACAATTGGGCAGTTATTCGTGGGTAGACGTTTATGCCCATGATAAAGAGTATTGTATCTACATCAAAGGGATAGTGCCTTCTTTTTAACCACCAGTTTAGGACTGGGCATTTTCCCTTTCTCCTTTCCTACAAGAACTACAATGGAGCAATTAACCTTGTACTATAGATTGATGTTAATGTCAGGAATTTTGACCTTGTGTTGTTGTTTTCCTGGTGGTTTTATAATTTGTACCTATTGCTATTGACCAGGATGTTTTGGCAATGTGTCCTTTGTGCCTTGTTCCTGTTAAATGTAAACTATTGTAATAAGATGCCAAACTTAGCTTGGAAGCTAATGCAACAACTTGTAAGAATATGGGGAGTCTCACATCCAAGGGCTTTGCCTTGCCATCTCCTGGTTTACACAGGAAGGACTAAGATTCTGTTGCCTATGAATTTGTTTGCTGTGATGTTTATTACTTGTAACACTTGATCTGGGAACACCCCAACTGAAACATGGTTTATATCTAGCATTGGAACTTTGAGTTGAAATATGCGTACTTGTTGTAATTGTAATGGCATCAACACCTCATACATTTCTCAGTGTGGTGCCCCATAAAAGAAATTGGTCTGTATATAGAACTACAAATAAATATCCTGAGTCTTACTAACACCTATAATTGTAAAATGGCAAAATATACAGTCCATTTGGGGCTGGCTTGGAGGTGTTCAGGTGGAAAATTTTATTCCTATCTAACACTGGAATACCATGCTGGATTGAAATGCAGTATTGGAATTCCTTCCCTGTGTCATATCAGAGTGTTCAATTTAACAACCTCTGAGAGACTGATGTGTTGCAGCACACCTGATTATTAAGGGGTACAGGGGATACTCAGCCTCGTCAACAGAGAGTGCTGCGTCACCATCCACAATTTCAAAGAGGCCCAAGCAAAGATGAAGGCCAGACAGCTGAACTATTCTTATCAATGCAACCAAAGGACTGATTCAATGAATTGTACCTTGGACTGCATATTTCTTCTCTTTTAAAATTTTTGGGGCTCATAGGGTGGAGAAAGGGGTTATCACAAATTGGGAGCACAACATCGGTTGGATTTCTGTTTTAAATGATGGGCATAGCCCTTATTTGCTGTATGATTGGCTGCTTACCGTCTTCTGCTTCCTCCCAGTTCTCTCCCTCTCTCTGCTACATAAAGATCACTGCAGCTGAAGATGAGCCCTATGCCCAATCAACAGTAAGGAATGTTTGAACTATGGATTGGAGTGGAGGACCAGGCATATGCATGTTTGTCTCATTCTGACTGTCGCAACAGGAAACTTGTGATTGGAAGAGAGGGTCCTGCAGAGGTGAGGCAACTTCCCCATCTCTGTTGAGCCAGCTTCCTGCTCCACCTTGAGAGTCATGCTCAGTCCCCCCTGACTCATGTCTTGGAGGGCTCAGAGAGCTGGCTGTTCATGCACGAACCAAAACAGCGTGAAAAATCTAGTTTACATGAGAGGCCGCAACAGGTTAACTATGAAAGAAGTGGATCAGTCCCCTCTCTTCTCTTTTCCCTCTCTTTTTCTTTGTCTCACCACCTCAACTCTGGACCATCCATGCGGCGGGATAAACGTAGGATCTGAGGACTGGTAACCTTTGTTCTCTCCCTCTCTTCTGCCTTTATTTGTCCCCCCCCCTTGCTTTGCCTGGGTAAAGAGCAACTATCATATTCTACCCTGTACTCCATACAGAAATTTGCTGTGGGAGTGGGGAGCTTGTGGAAGTGTGTAGTGGCTTGGTGGGCAGCAACTTTGAGAAGTAGTGTTGCTTATTGAGAGCTTATTGAAGTGTACTGCAAAAATTCAGGGCTTGTTAGCTCCCACTTGTTGAAGTGTTTTGTAAAATTTAAGGGCTTGTTGGCCAATATCTTTTGAGTCTAAACAGTGGTTCGCTGCCAGAGTGAAAACGACTGTACACAGAAGTTCCCTGACACGTGTCTGGGGTCTTTGTTCGGCATGACAAGAATTTACAATGAACATTGTGCTCCTGACTAGTGGATTGTGACACCTGCCTCCCCAGGACCCCCCACTATCCCCCAAGGACTCCCAAACTCCCCTAGGACCCCACAAATCCTCTCAGAACCCCTCCAAACCCACTCTGGGATCCCCCAACCTCCCCTTGGAACCCCTAAAATCCACCCTGGGATTCCCCAAATCCCCCCAGGACCCTCCCAAACACCCCCTGGAACTCCTCCAAATCCAACTCGGGACTCCCAATGTTCCCCAGACCCCCCAGGGATGCCCACCAACAGCCCCTGTGGGACTCTCTCAAATCCACCCCAGGATCCCCAACATCCCCGAGGACCCTCCACACCCCCCTGGTCCCCCAAATCCAACCAGGCCCCAATCAACCCTGGAAACCCCCATTCCCCACAGGACCCCCTGTCAAACATCCCCTGGGACACTGCACCCTCTCAGACTACCCAAATCCACTCTGCACCCCTCATATCAACCCCTGGGACCCTTCAACCTCCCCCGGAC